AGACCAACGGTTTTGGGGAGGCGACACACGATCTCAAATTTTCACCATGTAATACACGGCGCACGGTGCTGGTAGAAACTTTTTTTTTTTTGTTTTTATTGTAAAGGTTGGTGACTTGAGTGAGATTAAGATGGCGGTTGCCGCTAGTAACTAATTTTTTTAAACTTTTGCGATTAGCAGGAGAGAGGATCCTGGGACATCCAGTTCTTTTCTTTTTTGCCTTGACAACACTCAGCCGATGAAACCCACTCACCACATTCCACACAGCAGACTTACTGCATCCAACAGCAGCCAAAATAGTACGAATCGAATCATCTCGCTGGTGCCTATAAACTATTGCACTTTTTTAACTTTTCGTCAAATCTCTGTTGCTACCCATTTTTCGTGGGAAAATAATCTTTATTTAATTAATTACACCAAATTCGTTATATAAAACATCTTTTAATATTACATAATCTTACCCTATGTGCCGTATAACATTTGAGCGGAATTTGAAACGATTTGTACAAGAATTCGATTTTTTATAAATTTTTTTTTTTTAAAAAAAAATTCAAGATCGATCGCCAGCTAGTTCCAAAAACTGCAAGTTGTCATGCTTTTCACATAACTTCTGTGCAACCTAACGAAAATGCATGAAATTCTAGTAAGCAATACTATACATGTGATAGAATTAAATTCGGACATTTTTCAAAAACCGTATTATAGTAGAATTACTAAGTAACATATAGTAAATAATTGGAATTCGTATTTAATTCGGAATCGTATTGTCGATCAAATTTCCTTTTATGGTAATATGACCACATGTATGAGCAATACCTTAAGATTTACCGAACATGTAACAAAAATTTCATGATACATTTACTTGCCCATTTTCGAATAATAAAAATTTAAAAAGTGTCCATAATATTTTGGTAGGGGACTGTAGATTTTAAATACGAATTATCTTTATCTTTTCAAATACCTAGAAAACCACATCGATTAACTCATTTTTTTTGTTATTTTAAATTTAAAAGCAAATACAAGTAACAAATATGCTGTTTGTCATTTTTGTATTGCTGCAATTAGTTATGAAAATGCTTTAGAAAATAAGATTACTAATACACAAAAAATATGTAAAAATCATCTTAAAAATTGTCCATATTTTATTCAAAATTATATTTTCAAACAAATAAAAAAAATTTTAGATCCTAACGATTCTAATGATCCTAATGATTCTAATGTTAATAATGAACAATCTCAAATAGGCAAATTATAATTTTTTTTTTTTTTTTTTAAATAATTTAATTAATAATTTATTTTTTTTAGATCTCGAAACTTCTTAATTAACAAATTCTTCAAGATGAATTAAATGGATACCAGCAGATAATGAAACATTAGATAATTATTTCGCTAAGCTATTGAATAATGATCAACAAAAAAAACTTAATCATCTTTTATTGTGTGCAACTATTTCATGTGGATTTGCATTTCATTGGATTGAAAATCCTGAAGTTAAAGCTCTTTTTAAGTATATTAATCCTTCAATTGAACTTCCAAGACGATCAGTTATTTCTGGTTCTATTTTACAAGAAGCTGCATATGATTTAAAAACAACACAACTTAAAATTATATCTAAAGACAAATATGGCGTAACAATAGCTTTTGATGGCTGGAAGAATGTCGCGAAACAATCATTACTTGAAAGACTATTAATTACATCTGATAGCAAAAACAATTGTATGAAAAGCAGATGATATAAGCAGAATATGTTCTTGTTGGCCTGATATAATTGCTAAAACTAAAAATCTTCTTTTGGCAATTGAAAAAGAAGGTATTCAGATAAATGCAGTGGTTACTGATTCTGCCATAGCATATCAAGCTGCCAGGTTTTTTTTTATTTATTGATTATTATAAATATATTTTGTTTATTAATTAAATTAATTTTATTTATGTGAAAGGGAAATTGCATGGTCACATGAGTCTATGCAATGATGATCCCAAAAATGACAAATCTGAAAAAAATGAGATATCTGTAATATATTTCTTTTCTTTGATTTCTTTGATTTTTTCATTTATTTCAGATATTTAATATAGTTGAAAAATTAGATATATAAGCGATATTTGAGATAGTTGAGATAGTTTAGATAGTTAATATATTAGAGATAATTTTTTGATTTTAACATATATATAAGCGCAAGGAAAATATCTGAATAAACAAACATCTATTTGTTCAAATGAATTGCTTGTAAAACTGCGACCATAAAGGACTTTGGAAGAGTTTTAAAGTAGTTTGAGAAAGTAAATGCCCATTGCTACAACAGGAACTTAGGTATAGTTTGAGTAGACGAATGTGCATACTAACGGATGAAGTTGAATTTATTTTATAGAGAAAGAGCAGGATACTCAGACCAAATTATTACACCTTAGCCTTAAAAACCTAAATATTTGAGAGGATTTTGAAAGACCCTTACATTTATTAGAATTAGATTACATTTGAAATTACGAGATAAGATATTCTTACCATGTTTTGCGCATCAAATGAATATTTGCATAGCCGATATATTCTGTAATTTGTTTTCTCTCAAAACTATTTCTGCAAGCTATAAAACTAGTTTGTTTTTTCAATCGATCAAATTTTTACTTGGGAAGGTTATACGATAAACAAGAATTTGCATATGGCAAGCGCTTTGCATTAATTACGCCAAACAATACACGATGGAATTCACATTATCATTGTTTCTCTAGTATTCTGAGGACAAAATTGGCATTAAAAGTAAGCGGCTATATCGGTTAATATAACATATATATATTTAATATGTTTTCTTTTTTTATTTTTTACAGAATCTTGCGCACAAAATTGAAGAATCAGAAAGTGACAACTTCCCCGCCAATATATTGACAAATCTTATTTTGCTAACATGGTGGAAAGAAATCAAACAACTTGAAACACTTCTTTTGCCTTATTGTGCTGCATTAAACAGATTACAACATAATAATGCAAAGCTTCACGAAATTTTATACTGTTTTGGTTGGATGTCAAAGCTTTTAAAGAATTTACCTAATCGGGAACTTACCTCCGCATTGTTAAAAAACTTGGAAAAGAGATGGGCTACCTGGGAACAGCCTCTGGTTCTTATATCCTTTCTTCTTATCCAAAATACCATAACACTTTCTTTAGCTCAAATATCTTAAGCTTATCATATGTACATCTCGGGAAATGAATATTATACTATTACAAAGTATGGTTTGGAGAATCGCCTCAACATATTTTGTTTAAATTATCTGAGTTTAGTGAGGGTCAATACCCGTATGATGAATAAATATATTCGCAATTCAATAATGATATTTTACAGTTTTGGAAGTACGCCAGAAGCTTTACTAAAGAATTATATAAGGTAGCACAGTATGTTTTTTCTATTACAGTTAATACCACATCCATCGAATGGATATTTTCAATTATGGGATGGCTCCATAGTCCAAGAAGGAATCGATTAAAGGTAATTTGAATCTTTACTTGGGATACTAACATTTCGTTTTAAACTTACATTTTTCCCCCTGCAAGCATATAACTTTTTTTATTAGTATAAAAAGATAATCGCAATGACAAGTTTACATTGCGAAATGACTCAAGCCCAGAGAACCAGAGAAATCCAAGATTCGAACACAAAACCTAGTTCTAAGTCGAACAACCTAAATAAAGATCATAGGATAAGTGAAGATTGTAAAAGCGGGAGTCATGAGGGATTTAGAAATTGGGAACAACCTGAGAATCGTGAGATAGAAAGCTTTAGTGAACACGAAACTTACTGTAATGTTTCATCCGATGAAGATACAGAGACGGACATCGAAGATGATGAAATGGATGCTCAGGTTAATTCGATAGATGTGTGGCGAACTTTGGTGGACCAGTGGCTGTCTTTGATTAATGATAAGGACGAGGCAAATGATGATTCTAGAGTAAATAATCCAGTTAACATAAACAGTTAGAAATGAGTCGAATGTTATATTAGTTACCGGTGCACCCCGCGGTTGACCAAGCTTCGAAATGGCATCTTTCTGAGATTTTTACGGATTAATTGGATGTACCTGTGTTTGTAGATATTGATATGTTATAAGTTTAATCATAATGGGTAGAAATGAAAGAATATTAGTGGTTTGGGTCTAATGATTATTATGTAAAGAAATTTTAATCTTGTTATTAATGGAGTTTTTTTTTGTTATAGATAATTAGGACTAATTCACCATATTTGATTTCACATCGGAGAGAAGCTAAAATAAATTAGAGTTTATGCATACTCGCTTGAAGAAAATTACTAGACACTATTAATCCGAACATAATGCATTCTCGGTAAATGTAGGATTGTAATTTTTAATAAATACGTGTCTTTTTTTTTTTTTTTAAAAAAAATTTAAGTGTTTTAGACTAACATACTATCTTACATGCGGTCCCAGCCTAGGTAAGCTTATATGCATGTTGTTCTTATCTAGCGCGCAGTGTTCTAATCAAGTATGATTTTTTTTTTTTACTCAAGCGAGATCAAGATGTATTTTATATTATATTTAGTCTCATATATCATTATTAATTTGTTTCTTTATGTGAATGTTTATAACATGATATACTTTTTTCTCTGATGAGTCAATATATAAATGTAAATTTGTTAATTTAAAATTACATATATGTACATAATATAATAAATAAATTGTACAATTTAATTGGATATAATGTAATTTACATAACATGATATTATTGGTTAAATAAAATTCAATTGGATTAATGATTCCATTTAAATTATTTAAATTAAATGAAATGGTCCAAATAAAATCCATTCCAATTGGTCCATAAGGTCATTATTCCAATAGTACAACACTGCTTAACAAGTATCGTTTGGACTAGTCAATAGTAACAAGCTGATATGGAAGAAATTTAATATAGCCTAATATGTATCTAGAATAGTTTATAGATAGTAACTTTTATAAAAGAAGTAATATATGTAAATTAAATAAAGCATGTTAGGCAAGGCCTAACTAGTTGAAAAAAAAATATTAAAGTATATTTTATACAATTAGCCTTTATAAATTAAATTGCAATATGATCACTAAAGTTTTTTGAAAATTTTTTTTCTATTTTTATATTATACATATATATACTATACATATTGTATATATAAATTATAATAAAAATAGTCTGTGTTATCTAAATGTGATTAGCTATTTATAAATAAATTTTTATTATAGTTATTCATAAAAAAAATTATTTGTTTATTCTTCTGAAACACAATAGGACATAAAAAAGAATTAACTATAATTTAATTGAGCTATACTTTACGATTATCAACATGAGGATTTGTATTACATTATTGCCAAAAATATTAATTGTGGTTTATCTACAGTTTGTAATACTTTAAAGTGGTATGCTGAAATAGGATCAACAGAGTTCAAGATATATGCTGATAGATCACATTCGTTTGAAACCTCTCAACTTAAATAGCTTAAATAAATAGTAATAAAGAATCAGTAACTTTGCAAAACTGGAATCCAAATGCTTTGAAAAAAAAACAGGTCAGCTTGTTTCTATATGTTCCTTGAGATGTTTACTTTATTCACTTGAATTGAGAAATTGCGTGGCATGATGAAATCCATTTCTTACATTAATCAACAAAGAGGCATAATTAGCGTGATATTTAAATCATGCAAACTGAATAAAAAAAGATTGAACAAAGGTATTGTAGAGTGATGAATTAATCTTTACTTAATTTCAACAAAGTCGCTACAGTAGAGTATGACATGAGCCAAAAGATGAATGATCTCTTTCATGTATTTCAGAATAATAAAATACAATTCCAATCGTATGTATTGGAGTTGTTTTTTATAACAAAAATTAGGACCACTTGTACTATTGTCTGAAATAGCAACTGGTATTTTTCATGTAAAGATTCTTTACAAATATATTATACTGACTATGAAGTATATGTTTTTTAAGGATAAGGGTAACGATTCTAAGGGTAAGGGTAATGGTTCTAAGGGTAAGGGTAATGATTTTAAGGGAAACAGTTCTAAGGATAATAGCTGGTTTCAAGAAAACAATACTTATCCTTATATGTCAAAGGTTGCAACTGAATTTTGTATAGAAAAAGATTTGCGTAAGTTGCCTTGGCCTGCCCAAAGCCCTGATCTCAATTCAATTGAGAACTTGTGAGTTTTGGTTAAGTGTGATATTTATAAGCAAAAAAAACAGCCATCCAGTTTTACTGAACTTAATAAGTATATTAAAAAAATATGGAAGGTGATTTCTCAAAGTATGATTAAAAATTTAGTTAATAGTATACTGAGACATATTCAAGCAATAATTATAGCAAAAGATGAAATTACTAAGTATTAGTTTTTAATAAAAAAATTACAACGAATCTTTTTTTATATAGCATTGATTATAGCGTAGATTGTATTTCGATATGATACAAAGTAGCATAATTTAATAATTTACTTACTTTATATCAATTAATGTATAATTATATAATTATATTTCTTCGATATAGTAGTCTGCATATGAATATTATTTAGTATATATTTAATCACAGAAATACGAGTAAACTGAAATTTAAAAAACCATTTAGAAACTTTTGTCCTCCCTTTGTATTATTATTATTATTTTTTTTTTTACACGACTAGCAGGGCCTTACCCAACGTCAGACTTTATTTAGTTTACATATGTATCTTATATGTATTACAGGTAATTACTATCTATGAGCTATTCTAGACCGCCGTGGATTATTATCGGATTTTACCCCCATATTGG